TTGAGAGACTTTGAGAGAGATGGAGAGACAGAGCGTGAGCATGGGGGCAGAGAGAGAGGGAGACACAGAATTCAAAACTGGTTCCAGGCTCCGAGCTGTCAGCACAGAGCCCGATGCGGGGCTCGAACTCATGAACTGCGAGATCATGACCAGAGCCGAAGTTGGGTGCTTAACCAACTGAACCACCCAGGTGCCCCTGATGGGCTTTTTTAAATGAAATAACTTAAGACAAAGACTCCAGAGGCAAACAGACCTGGTTTGAGAGGCTTCGATGCCACTGTGTACCTCTGAGACCTTGAGCAAGTGATCACGTGATCTCACCTCTTGAAAATCCTCCTTTTGCACACTGACCTCTTAGGATTGGGGTAGGCTTACATGGGGTGCTGGGGAGGCGTTTAGCACTTTTCCCAACACTCAGCAAATATTAATGACTCTTAGGCACCGTTGTTTTTTTCTAGAAATTCCCACTCCCCCCGCTTCTTTATTTATTGATATCTTTACCGATTTTCCCAACATCCAAAAAAATGTCAACTTCCTCTCTTTACTTCCCAGTACACAGGGATTTTGATTTGGAAAGGTGGGGTGTACATCATTTGTTTTTATCATCGCCACCGTGGTGTAGACTGAGAAAGTTGCGGGAAAGGCATCTCTCTCTCTCGTGCTGGAACTCTCCCCGCCATTTAAAGATGAGTCCGTTGGCGCCCAGGCGCAACTGATTAGAGCAGAGCGCTGGGATCCTCTCTCTGCCAGGCTGTTCTTCCTCCTCCTGGGCTCACACGTGCAGGATCCTGCTGGGACACACCCAGCGGGCCGTCCTGGACCCAGAGGGGCCCCAGGGGCTCCAGGACAAGCTGGCCCCTGGCTTAGCGTCGGTCGGCCAGCGAGCAGCCCACCCCTGGTGGGGATGGCAAAGAGACCTCCTCAGACAGAGTGGGAGCCTCCAGCTAGTGCCGCAGACTCCTCTGGAAGGAGCATAGCTGTGTCACACTGAGAAACCGCATTGGACGGAGCCCGGAGGTCCGCAGGCTGTGTAGATCTTTCCAACCAATTGTGAAAGGCAGATGTGCTAGACGTTCCCACGGCCACAGAGATCATTGACGTAAAAGAACACACATGTGTTTGCAGAGTTGACCTGTCGCAGTGTCCGCTTGGGAAGTGTTCATTCCTGCCCGACTTTGGCCCTGTCACTGTGGGTCGACAGTGATGTGTATGTATCACTAGCCATTAGGGTCTCAGAGTGTTTCTTTCAGGCCCCGAACAGCCAGCCCCAAAGGCAGAAAGCCCCCCTCTTTTTCTTTCAGATGCCCTGACGGGGTCACTGGTTTTAATTTCCTCTCTCTCCCTCTAAGGAGAACCCTTTGGGTTCCACTTAATGAAAAGGGCCAATTGCTTCTCTTAACAAAAGAGCCGTTCGCTCTTACCCACTAAGCCACACGGGTGCTGACCGCCCAGCGGTGTGCACCTGCCTCAGCCGGCCCGTCCGTGCAGCGCAGGGAGTAAGCGTGGGTGTGGGCTACAACCTGAACGGCCAGGGGCCCCTGTCACTTGGGCAAAGACCTGGCAGCCAGCGCTGCGGCCTGGGCCCCGAGCCTCGTTGTCACAAGCCCTACCTGGGCCTCTCCGGTCAGCCTGCCTGGCCTCCTCCGTTCGTTTGTGCCTCAGCCCTTCCTCGGCCTGGCCTTCTACGCGATGATCTATGCACGGCAGGCATGGTTGCCCAGGAGCTCGCCTCTCCTTGGAGCTGGGACCACAGTGCCCTGCCCGGGACCGTCTGGCACAGAGGGTGATATGCGGGTACCTGTGGGAGGGAGCAGGTGCAGCGAGCCAGCCAGGGGTCTGAGGCAGGACCCCGCCCTGTCCGTCACATCTGCCCCGGCGTTTCCATTTTGGGTAGTGAAAGCGAGGGCTGTAAACATGCACTCGGGGGGGGGGGGGGGGGGGGGCAGGGGGAGGGCTGGACTTTCCAGGGACGGCCCTGCCCCCGGAGGGCCCTTGTGTCCCCAGCACTGAGCACCGCAGGGCTCCTCCGTCGTCCGGCACTGCCACCCGTGCGCCTGGCACTCGCTCTCCCTCAGATGTGGCTCCCCCGGGCCCTGTGCCACCTGCCCTGCACACACAGCCCCCACCCGCCAGACTCCGGCCTGGGGGAGGGTGCCCTTGGCACCCAGGCTGCAGCTGCACCCTTCTAGCAGAGATCTGCCCCGCACCCACCTGGCACGTAGTGTTCCATCCCTGCTGAGCCCACGGCCGGGGAGGTCTGTGGACCCGCCTGACTTTGGCTAAAACCGCTTCCTCCAAAACGCACGCACGATCATGAACTGTTTTCTTTAGAGAAAGACTTCAACCACACAAAAACATTATTAATCTTCTCTCGGTAGAGGACTAATTTAAAGCTCATCAATAAGATGATATTCTATGTTACCATCGATCCCCCCCCCCTTTTTTTTTAAAGTTGTATTGGAGAAACGATAGCTCTTCTTCTGAGCAAAATCCATTGATCCTCCCAGCCTAAATGTTTAAAGTTCAATTTAACATTTAGGGAGTAAAAGGTCTCCGGAGGGACTCGTAACCATTGATTTTGTGTCAGGGTTGAGGAGCCAAAGTTTAAAACACAGCGATCCTAGTAGGTTACAAAAGCCCCGTGTGTGTCACCTCATGGAATTGTGCTCCTGTGTCACCGTCGTTTTTTCCCCTTTCTGCAGAGGTTACGATAAAAGCACTTAAAGAAAAAATCCGAGAATATGAACAGACTCTGAAGAACCAAGCGGAGACTATAGCTCTCGAAAAGGAACAAAAGTTACAAAATGATTTTGCAGAAAAGGAGAGGTGAGTGTCTATCAGCATCTGCCCGCACTTGACGTTTTTTTTACCTCCCAAGTTCACAATGCAAGAAGTATCTGTTGTTTTTTTTTTTTTTTAAGTT